TAAGCCCCTCTGGAATTAACTGGAGTTTTAGGAGAAAAAATCCCACCCTGGACATCAAGCAACCCCCTCCCCCTCAATCTGTATTTTCTCCCCTTACCCAGAGCAAACCTTGTTTTCCTCACTTCAGAGCCAACAGCTTTGCAGCCAAGGGGACCAAGGCACCGTTTTGAAGGCTGGAATCTGGTATCAAATGTCCACAGAGGGTCTTGCAGCCCCAGGGTGGCTCTTGGAAACTCTCCTGCACGTAACAACACCTGATGGCTGGGACACCCAACACTGGTTTGGCAACAGTTTGTCCTGGGTCAGGTGGGATGCCCTTGAACCACAGGAGACCTTCAAATGGCCTAAAAGCAACAGGATCCAACACAGAGGCAGAGAGTGAAGGCAAGGCCAGGGGACATGGGGACTTGTAGACTGCCCATCAAGCACTCCTGGACACCCAACCCTCACTTCTGTTTTCCAAACTTGGCAAACTTACCCATCCTTGCCAGCACAGTCTTGACACCCCTTAGGCCCCCCCAGGGACAAGCCCCAGACCCTTCTCCCATCCCACCAGGCCTGGAAGCTGCAGAAGAAACTGCCCAACCCGCCCCATGGCCAGAGCCCTCCAGGCACAGACAAAACCCAGGAAATCAGAAAGAACCAGTTTGCACAAAACAACTCAGAGCCCACCACAGCCAGAAGCAAAGTCCCTGCCCCCATTCCAGCAGAAACCTGTCCCACCAGGACCCCGTCCCTTGATCCCTCTCAGAGTTTTGTGCTTTCCAACCAGACTAGAGAAGCCCTTTTGCTCGATCCACAGTCCCCCAGTGCCCCCCCAATAGCCTCCACCTGCAGGTGTAGTTGGTGTAACTGGTACACAGCCCAGGGGATGCAACTCTTCCCTGCAGCCACCCCTGCTCCAGGACATCTCCTAGGGGAGACCTGCAGCCTGTCACTCCCAGAGGGATGAGATGCCCACCCTAAACACCAACCGCCATGCCTGGTTCTGTTGGGGTCACAACCAATGAGGTGCCCAAATGCCCACCCACTGCCCCAGGGAGAGGGACATGGTCTCTGGTGAGGCCAGGGGGTGTCTGGGAAAGGGGCTGTGGGACCTTCAGCGTGGGTTTGGAGGGCAGCTGAGATGCCAAAACAATCATCACTCCACGGTAGCACCTGGTAAACATCGTTCCGTCTCGTTTCTGTCTGTTCCGTCATGTCCGTGCCCACTCCCCACACACCCACCTCCTCCCTCCTCACAAAACCTGTGTTTGTTTTGGGGTTTGTTTGGGTTTTGCTTCGGTTTTTTGTTTTGGGTTTTTTTTTGTTTGTTTTGTTTTGTTTTGTTTTTTTAAATTTCTGTTAATATCTTGAACTGTAAATGTTTAGTTCTGACCATTGCATCCTGCTTTGGGCGATGTTTCTTTACAATGCATACTAATATATTATGGTTATTATATATGAATATATTTAATGACAAGTGAAAAAGTTGTGGATTTTCTTATTGTTTTTCCAAGGTTTTTTGTTTTGTTTTGTTTTGTTTTGTTTTGTTTTTTTCCCTTCCCTCTTCATTTGATAGTTTCGTTAGATTTGCTGTAATTGAACCTGAAGGAGCTTGTAACTGTTCAGCATCCACTTGGTAGGACTAAAGTCAGAAACTAGTTGAATAAACTCTTGTAAACTGTAAAAATCTCCAAGGATCTCTGCTTCCTCCCACTCCCCAGGCCGTAACTGGTACACAGCCCAGGGGATGCAACTCTTCCCTGCAGCCACCCCTGCTCCAGGACATCTCCTAGGGGAGACCTGCAGCCTGTCACTCCCAGAGGGATGAGATGCCCACCCTAAACACCAACCGCCATGCCTGGTTCTGTTGGGGTCACAACCAATGAGGTGCCCAAATGCCCACCCACTGCCCCAGGGAGAGGGACATGGTCTCTGGTGAGGCCAGGGGGTGTCTGGGAAAGGGGCTGTGGGACCTTCAGCGTGGGTTTGGAGGGCAGCTGAGATGCCAAAACAATCATCACTCCACGGTAGCACCTGGTAAACATCGTTCCGTCTCGTTTCTGTCTGTTTCGTCATGTCCGTGCCCACTCCCCACACACCCACCTCCTCCCTCCTCACAAAACCTGTGTTTGTTTTGGGGTTTGTTTGGGTTTTGCTTCGGTTTTTTGTTTTGGGTTTTTTTTTGTTTGTTTTGTTTTGTTTTGTTTTTTTAAATTTCTGTTAATATCTTGAACTGTAAATGTTTAGTTCTGACCATTGCATCCTGCTTTGGGCGATGTTTCTTTACAATGCATACTAATATATTATGGTTATTATATATGAATATATTTAATGACAAGTGAAAAAGTTGTGGATTTTCTTATTGTTTTTCCAAGGTTTTTTGTTTTGTTTTGTTTTGTTTTGTTTTGTTTTGTTTTTTTCCCTTCCCTCTTCATTTGATAGTTTCGTTAGATTTGCTGTAATTGAACCTGAAGGAGCTTGTAACTGTTCAGCATCCACTTGGTAGGACTAAAGTCAGAAACTAGTTGAATAAACTCTTGTAAACTGTAAAAATCTCCAAGGATCTCTGCTTCCTCCCACTCCCCAGGCCAGCAAGGGACGGGGACCTGGGCAGGGAGGTGACAGTATCCCCTCCACCTCCTGAAGTCTCTGCCACGACCCCCATGGCAGGGTCTGAGGTGTCAGCCCCAGCCACATGTCCCACCACCACCCTCCCAGCCAGTGGCCACACACACCCGGGGACACTGGGGTCACCAGAGGCTCATGGTAGGTGGGATGGGAGCCCCAGTGGCACCTCTGGACTCTCTGGGACTGCTGTGAGCTCTGGACCAGGGTACATTCCTCTGGGCTCCCCATTCTTCATCTACTGCCAGAGGAGTGGTGCCCTGCAGTGGGACAAAGCCAGGGCATGCCAAAACCTGCAGGACCCCACACAGAGAAGGTCAACAGGCATGGGGACGGGACAACCAGAGTCTAGGACCAGGGGACCTGCCAAACCCACTCAGGACCTGTTTTCTGCCTCCCTGCACAGCACCATCCCTTTCTGCCCACCCGCTGCAGGGGATTGGGCTCCATCACCCACCTCCCTGGGATACTGGACATGCCAGATGCTGGTACTCAAGACCAGGCAAGGGCTGGTGGCACACACAAGCTAGGAAGCTGGA